GGGGGGGGGGGGGGGGGGGGGGGGGGGGGGGGGGGGGGGGGTCGGGCCCCCGCGGGGGCCGGGATATGCGCAACTTCGGATGTTACGAGGATCTACCGTCGGGCTTGGAAAACCAACTCTCGTTCAATTACATGAGCGTGGCGAGTGCCACACGTTCGGACCAATGTGCGCTTGGTCTTGCCGTTTATAGCCCCCCCTTGAATGGCTCGACTTTCGTTACGATTTACTGCCTTTCTTCCGTTTACCGTGAGGATTTTCGTAGCCCTTTACCGTGGGTAGGTCGTACAACGGTGGCCAGAGGCATAAGATTCTACGATTATACTGGCATGAAGGTGAGTTTCCACCCTGGCATTGTAATACTTTTAGACTCGGGGAAAATGCCGGGCTTGTGCTGTACTAACAGTCCNGGGGGGGGGGGGGGGGGGGGGGGGGGGGGGGGGGGGGGGGGGGGGGGGGGGGGGGGGGGGGGGGGGGGGGGGGGGATAAATACTAATAGATATGGAGTGACGCTTTTTTTGAATTATGAAACATTTTCACTTATTCTAAACTGTCGGACATTTTTGGCGGAAATTTCCGGTGCAATTCTTGGAAAATGAAATTTCTTGAGATTCTTTCGTCAAATTTCAGGGAATTTCGTCATGAAAATTCAAAATTTTAATTCAATTATTCCATGAAAATTTATTGGGATCAGACAAATTTCACGAAATAAATTTTTGGATATTTAATTTGTGGTTGAAAATTCAAGGAAGTTGAGGAGTTCTCGTCATCCTGTGTCTCAAGAATATAGAATTCCCCTGAAATTTCAGTGAAATGTAAAATTTCATGATTTTGTTACCTCAAATCGAAGTCAAATAAATTCAGTAGCGATTTTGATTATTGTCTAGTTTGCAATGAATATCTCAAAATCTAAGTGAGATGGCAAAATTTTTGTCATGACCTTTTTTGTAGCCCTTAATTCGCTCTACAAAAAAGGTTATTACAAAAATTCCGTTATCTCTCCTAGATTCGGAGATATTCTTCAAAAACTCAGTTAAGGGCTAAATCAACTTGAACTATTATTTTACCCTTTTGCTACTGAATTGATGATTTAATTCAAGTAAACCTTCCTCTGAGTGAATATATCAAATAAAAAAGGTCAAATTCTGTAGGTCAACTTCAAAACAATGAAAATTGTTCTTCAAATCGTAAACAAAAAATTCCAAAAAATCGCACCAGCGACAAGTCCTCGAATAAATGTGAAATTTCATGATTTTTTTTTCTCAAAATCGAAGTCAAATAAATAAATTAATAATTCCCTTTTATAATCATTTCAAAAACATTTGTTTACATTAGAAAAATTGGTATTTAATACCAATAAAAAGCAAAATTAAAATTGTAAACCTTTCTCTGAGTGAATATATCAAATAAAAAAGATCAAGTTCTGTAGGTCAACTTCAAAACAATGAAAATTGTTCTTCAAATCGTAAACAAAAAATTCCAAAAACTCGCACCAGCGACAAGTCCTCGAATAAATGTGAAATTTCATGATTTTTTTCTCAAAACCGAAGTCAAATAAATAAATTAACAATTCCATTCTGTAGTAATTGAAATATTTATCTACATTACAAAAATATCTATTTAATATCCATAAAAACACAAAACTAAAGTTTATTTAATTCCAGTAAATCATTTCTCTGTGTGCATATATCAAATAAAGGTCAAGTTCTGTAGGTCAACTTCAAAACAATGAAAATTGTTCTTCAAATCGTAAACAAAAAATCCCCAAAGCCCTCGGTAGTGACAAGTCCTCGAACAAATCCCCCCCGTCGATCAATAAATATTTCACCCGTAATTTTGATAAGAAAACACATAACAGATATCTGTACACGCGCAACGAATTCTCATTCCGAAGAGTTATACAGCTAAAATGGATAGTAACAGTGCGCCCCAGCCAAACAAAAGACGCCCCCGTCACTACCCATGATGGACGCCTTCATGAAACGACCCTATGGAGTACCGTACATCACTTTTATGACTACCGTCCTCATTTTCATATTTCATATTTACATTTCTAGTCCACCGTAAATCACACAATTTATGGGTAATTAGACCTTTGTGCGTTTGCCCAACGAGAAGGGTACGGGGGCTTATCGAACGTAACGAGAATAAGGGGTGGCTAGAGTTGTGGCTTTCATCCCCATTCCTCGTGGGCAACCTTTTGAGGAGCATAAGGGAAGTGACTACTAACCCTGACCCCTCGCACGAGCCCCTCGAGAGTATCAAAATTTTCGAATCTGTAGAAAAATATATCCACTGCAAAAAAAAATTTATTTAAATCGAGTAAAAATTATTATTTCAAAATTTTTAATTGCTTTGAAAGAAAGGATTTAATCATCTCAGACAAAGAATTCATTAACTTTAAATCAAATTTTTATTTAATTCAGGAAAACAATTTTTTTTTATAAAATAAATTAACATTCTCCCCTAATAATTATTGCATTTTCCTTAATTTTTTTTTACTGGTTTCACATCTTTGCATTCACTAATTCTAATCCTAATCCTAATTCTAATTCGATCTAGACATTCATCGATTACGCACTCAAGAAAAACATTATTTGAATCAAGTGAAAATTGTTATTTCAAATTTTTTACTTGTTTCAAACGAAAGAAATCAATTATGCCAAATAAACAATTTATTGATGTCAAATAAAATTTTTATTCAATTCAAAAAAACAATTTTTTATTATAAAATGAATAGAATAAATTATCATTCTCCTTTAATAATTATTGCATTTTCCTCAATTTTTTAAACTGTTTTTCACATCTTTGCATTCACTTATTCTAATTCCATCTACACATTCATTAATTACGCACTCTAAAAAAAAATTATTTGAATCAAGTAAAAATTGTTATTTCAATTTTTTAAATTGTTTTGAAAGAAGGGATTTAATTATGCCAAATAAACAATTTATTAATTTCAAATAAAATTTTTATTCAATTCAAGAAAACAATTTTTTTTATTAAATGAATAAAATAAATTACCATTCTCCTCTAATAATTATTGCATTTTTCTTATTTTTTTAACTGTTTTTCACATCTTTACATTCACTAATTCTAATTCCATTTACATATTCATCGATTACGCACTTTTAAATTACACGAAAAATCGCACACAGTCGTTATTTACATAAAATTAATTGCATGAGAGGTAATTGCGGTTTTTCCATGTGTTCAAC